AACAAAAAAAAAAAAACCACAAAAAAAAAACGATAAATCACCAGGCCCCCTCGCCTAAAATGACAAAGAAAACGTGGAAAGAACAAGGAGAGGGGGATTAGCTTACACTCCAGCCAGTGTCCCCCGTCGGTTAAAACGGGGGCAGCGGCGCCCCCTTTCCACAGGTACTGTCCGCACCAACCCCGCATTCCCTCCAAATGAGCGCGCGGGGCGAAATCAACCCGCCGGACGCTGCGCGCCCACGAGGGACCGCAGCTCGCGAGAGTCGGCGACCTCCTCGGTTCCCCCCGCCGGTCCACAGCAAACTTGCCTCTCCGTCCGCTCCGAAGGGAGAAAGGGCCACGCCGTCCGCACCCGGGAGCAGGACGCGGGCCGAGTCCGGGCGCCGCCGGGGTCACGCCGCCCCGCAGGCTGGGCTCAGGCACATAGACCTCGGCACCACCAGCCAGCAGTACGCCCGGGGGAATCGCTGGCCTCGCACTGACCCTCACGGGCCGCCGTCGCCGTGCCAGAAGGCGGGACTTCCGCTCAGCGCTCTCATCCGGGGCGGGACTTCCGCCCTGCTGGGCGAGAGGGCGGTGCCTGGAACTAGGCCGCGGTCCTTTGGCTCCGCCCAGCGGCCTGGGTCACGTGGCTGGTCCCGCCCCCCGCAGGTTTCCGCTGGGACGTCCTATGCCCCTTTCCCGGACCTGAAGCTCTCAGTCTTGCCGTCCGCCACCCGGAAGGTTTAGGCGCGGGCACTGCCTGACGACCTGGCGGCCACGTGGGACCTGTACCCCAGGAGGAGGGCGGAGCCGAGCGTGCACCAACTGCGCACGTTCGATTCCTCCCTTCTCAGATTTTTAAAAAATGCGTATTTTTATATGCATATTTTATTTATTTCAGAGAGGAAGGGAGAGAAACATCAATGATGAGAGAGAATCATGGATCAGCTGCCTCCTGCACGTCCACCCTGGGGATCCAGCCTGCAACCCGGGCTTGTGCGGGAATCGAACCCTGACCTCCTGGTTCAGAGGCCGACGCTCAACCACTGAGCCACACCGGCCAGGCCAGCGCTGTGTCCTTGATGTCACCATGCCGGCCGGGCTCAGGGCTTGTTTTCTCGAGGCCTGGCTGCCTGCCTGCCTTTCACTCCACGGAAATCAAAATCTGTCTTTACAGTCAGAGTTGTCTTTCCTTCCCCAAGTCGGGTGGGTCTGGGTGCCTTGCAGGGAGCGAAAGCGTAAGGAAGGCAAGGAAGTCAGAACGGGTGCGCTGGGAGCGTCCCCGCGTCGCCATCAAGACAACGACACGCTTCTTTTTAAACCATTTATTCCTCTGTTTGGCCCAACAGGTCATGGAATCGGAGAGTAATTATTGGCTAAAAAGTTCAGGTCGCCAGGGCCCCGTGCCCCCTATGCACCTTTGGGTTATGACAACGTTTTCAAAATAAGGTTTCCCTTTCGTATGTAACAATGTAAACTTCAAAAAAATAGTAAACTCTAAACGCCCCCCCTGGTCCCTCTTCACGGGTCCATCACAAGACAGAGTTTCCCGGCAGAGCGAAACGGCGGGATCAACAGCCTGGCGCTGAAGCGTCGCATCAGAAAGATGCACGGGTTCGGGAGGCCATGCTTCCGTCTCGGTCCCGAAGCAGAAGCGACCCGGCGGCCCCCTCCTCCGGGGTCACACCGTGACCCACGCTCCGTCACTTCTGGACACACGCGCACGCACACACACACACGCCCATCATATGTCGTTTTATGGCTTTAAAGATGTGTACATCTCACGATAGACGCGCAGTGACGGACCGTCACTCGCTCACATAGGCAGATGAGTTCGTAG